TGCTGACACTTGATATGTTTTCTGTTCTGAATATGCTTGAATAATAACAGTAACATAATACCACAGTAACTCATAATATCAAAGTACAGATAACAGATTTGGAAAATGAATTAAATGCAGAACCAGTTTCTGTGATTTTTTTATGATGTCAGTATTGTCTTGCATTCAGTGGTAACAGATAAATAGATAGACCAAGCTTACATCATCTTCTTTTTGATCTGTTGAGGGATAAATATTAATGAAATGGTGTTTAACAGATGGGATACTCTTTCAATCCATGCTGCTGCATGGCACATTTATGAATGAAATTATAGTGTGCACAGAAACCATGTAAAAAAAACATACATGTGCTAAATGATATGTTGGGTGCAATTCAACTAAGTTCATTCACTACCAGGGACAGACTGGTTATCCATGGATTGATGCTTGTATGAGGCAGTTGGTACAGGAGGGTTGGCTGCATCAGGTGGGGCGGCATGCTGTGTCTGTGTTTTTGACCAGAGGGGATGCCTGGCAGCACTGGGAAATGGGATTAAAGGTTAGATTTAATGTCTCCATTTAGATCATTGGTGGAAAGTTGCACTGTATGTTACAGAAAAAGTGAATCAATAAAAGCCTGAAGTTATACTTGGTTGTACTGGGTGTGATATTTTTGTAGACATAACAGTAGCAAGTTTTTGTGTGTTAGTATTTTTGGTGTGTGTTAAGGGTAGTCTTACCTGTAATTCATCTTTTGTTTACCTCTAACTATTTGACCTTTATAAACTGGTATTGGTAAAAGTAACACATTTTTTTTGGTATGAGATATTGGATAATTGCAATAGGCTCTGTGCAGTAGATTAGTTATTTGTTCTGTCCAAGGTTTTCTTCAAGTACCTGTTGGATGCTGATTGGTCAGTCTGTGCTGGCAATTGGATGTGGGTATCGAGCTCTGCATTTGAGAAGTGCCTGGACTGCCCCAAATGTTTTCACCCAGTGCGCTATGGCCAGAGGATGGACCCTGTTGGAGATTATGTGAGGTAAGTAAGTGGCTTCATTAAAGATTCCTGGGCCTTTGAACTGATAAGCTGTATATTTTAACCTGAGCAATCTGAAGAACAAAAAAAATTGAGTAGAGAAAAAATGTAAAAAAAAGGAAAATATTTGGAAAAATACTTTTATTAAATAAAAGTAAAGAGTTCTTACTTTGTGTCAGAATGTTCTATAGTCAGTTAAGTAGCAAAACATGTTGTTTAAAATACTTGGTTCAGTCATTTATTGGTTCTAGGAAATTTGATGCAGTTTTTAGCTTTTCATACATTTGTGAAGTTCCCCTTTATCAGATGAAGCAATGAAAAAGGTATTTGGATATTATGTGCAAGTTTATTGAATTAAATATCATGTTTTCCAGACGGTATGTGCCAGAGCTTTCCCAGTTCCCCCTGCGTTATCTCTTCCACCCCTGGAGGGCGCCACTGGAGGTTCAGAAAAAAGCAGGTTGTATCATTGGCAAGGACTATCCTGCACCAATTGTGGATCATGCAGAAGCTGCCATGAAAAATGGAGAAAGGATGTCTCTTGTCCGCGAAAAATATGCAAAACTTCCTGGTGGGTTTAACAAAAATTCTTACATGCAAAGGGGGGGGGGGGGGGG